AAAAAAAAAAAAAAAAAAAAAAGTAATAAAATTAATAAATGTCCTATATCAATTGAAGCTAGCGAATGATAAATTAAAACATACTTAAGATGCATATTTATATTTTTTTTTTATATTAGAAATCAGTTTGTTAGTCTTAATTCTTTTTATATTTTTTAAATTTTTTATTTTGAAATATTAATATTTTTTATTTATGTGATATATAATATCACATTATTTCTTTCTCATCATGTTTGATTTGGTCAATGTATTGTAAATAAAATAAAAATATATTTATTTTTATTGAACCAAGTTAAAATAATAAATAGACCTAAAAGTATCTTATAAAATAAATTATAGACACATGTTAACTCACTTAAAATAATTTATTATAAAATAATAATAGATAAACTTGTGGTATATTTTTCTTACATATATTTTAATTATTCATATCAAGAAAAAAGGAAAAATGGATGTAAACGTACAACTATCACCTATGTTAACTATGTGAATTAAAAAAATTAATGGATCGTATGTTAAACAATTATTCAATTACTGCTTGAAATGAAACACCATAAGGGATGTAAAATATACTTTGTGAATATAAAAATGAGTTAGTTACTTAATATTTAGCAAACAATGGAAAAAAGATCTAAAGAATTTTAATATTATAAACAATATAAAAGTACACTTTTATCAAATATATTATTACTATCAAACAAGTTAAAAAAAAAACAATGCATATAAATATAATGTTAATGCAAATGGGAAAGAAAAAAAATTTGAATTTTCTTAGAAAAGTATGAGTACCATGAATACCAATATCAAGAAACAAAAATCTTCTATTTATAGTTACTCCTTTTTTTAGCTAGCATTTAAATTATTTTTTCCATAAGAAATTGGTAATCATAAATAATGATTCCATATAATCATAATATGGACCACAAACTTTAATAATGACGTTATAATAATAAACTTCATATGACTAAGAGTATCATAATATAATATAATTCAAATTCTTCTCATCTGAAATATTTTGACAAAGTGATATGCTTTTCAATATTACAAATTCGATTGATTGGGAAAAGTATTAAGACAAATAACTTTGAAATCATTGCAACAACCAAAATAGTTAATGATTTGCAAACAATAGGTTATGTAGCTTGTCAATCTTCTAAATAAATAACACTAAAAAGAGAATGTTCGATTCTGATCAAAATGTTTTTGAATGTTTGAGTAAGTTGTCACTTTTTAATAGGAACATTTATAATCTTAATTGTGTATTGTGCTCGAGAATATGCGCAATTACTTTAGAGTATGTACTTCATGTAATATGATGATAATAAAAATAGTTTAGCATCTTTTCGAAGAAGTACATGATTTTGAAAAATCAACTTTTATTTAGAAATAAAATTCGTTCTCACCTTATATGATAGGTACCAATTTGTCTATATGGGGAGAGAGAAAGAGAAAGAGAGAGAGT